GAGAAAATGTTTTCCCAATGCTTCAGGACGTTGGTCTGAACAATGATTTCTTGAGTAAGAACTCAAAAGCATAAACAACCAAAGAAGAATGACTTTCAATAGGTGAATGGATGAACAAACTATGGTATGTCCATACAATAGAACGTTATTCAGCAATAAAAAAATTATCTGTCAATCCATGAAAAGAAAAGCTAGGAAACTTAAATGCATATTACTAAGTGAAAAAACCAATCTGTAAAGGCAACATATTGTGTGATTCCAACTACCTGACATTCTAGAAAAGAAAAACTATAGAGACAGTAAAAATATCAGTGATTGCCAAAGGTTTGAGGTTGTGGGGAGGAATGAATAGGTAATCCACTATTCTGAATGATACTACAATGATGATACTGAATGATACTACAATGATGGATATATGACATTATTTATTTGTCAAAACCCATAGAATGTACAACACAAAAAGTTGAACTCTGATGCAAACTATGTTTTAGTTAATTATGTAATTAATTTAGTAAACTGATTTTAATTAACAATAATATATCAATGTTGGTATGTAACGTACCAATTGTAATGTATGTACCACACTAATGCAAGATGTTAATAATATGGAAACTGAGCAAGAAACAGGGATATATGAGAAACAGCTGTACCATCTGGTCAATTTTCTGTAAACCTAAGACTACTCTAAAAACTAAAGCCTATTGATTAAGAAAAAAGTGTGTTCTGCATATGTGAATAGTACAGAGGCAGAAAAGAAGATGATAACCATTAAACCATTTTGTAGGCTGATTATTTTTTAATGCCAAATATGCTCATCACTTGATTCCTTATTTTTGTCCATGAACCCATTTTACCTTAGTAACCTCAGCTGTCTTGACAAAAATTATTTATGGAGTAGAGGAGTGGAGGCCAAGCTCTTAGCATGTGCTCCTCCTGGTGGGTCTATGGAAGGAAAGGCATACACTGGGGCAGAGAGCTAGTTTCTGTACTTCAGAATTAAGAAACTAGAGCCAAGAGAGGAAAATACTTTGAATTAGAAGATTTCATAAGGATTCATCTTACAAAATAAATATTTCAAAATCAATGGCTTTGCTACATATCAGCAATAATTAAATATATAATATATTGGAAGTCCCCAAAAGATGGCAAAACAGCACTGGCTATTGGCTCTCTCCCCAATCCTAGCAATGGAAATGTCACACAGCAAAAAAGAAAGGGTATAGATTTGAAGAAGGAAAGCATGACTGTGAAAAAACTTCTGGGAAGAGAGGGTCATGTGTGAACCAATGTGAAAATAGTAACAGCCTGATGAGATTGGAGTAAAAAGAGAAATCAAATTGGGGTGGGTTAAGATTTTGAATTTTTACTTTCACTCATGGCTTTGGGTGCAGACTCTTGTCTTGCCTCCTCACCACTGCAGGACAGAAATGTCATAGTGACAGCCTCGGCCACCGAAAAGCAAAGGGCAAAAGTGGGATGGTCCAACCTGCAAAAAAGGATGAGGATGGTAACAGGGGAAGTTAACAAGAACTGAATGACTGGTTAGTCTCTGAGCTACCCTTCACCCCCTGTCTTCCTTTTACTTCAAAGTTAAGAAATTAAAGCCAAGAGAGGAAAGGTCTTTGAACAAAGAAATGCCTGAGATGAAATTATTAACTCCCAGAAAAGCAGGAATCCCTAGAGAGGAAAAAGCAAACAAAGGTGGTCAAGTGCAGCTGGCAATGCTTTGGCTCTCTGAACCAGTGTATGCCTTTCCTTCCATAGACCCATCAGGAGAAGCACATGTTATGACCTTGGCCTCCACTCCTCTACCCCGTAAATAATCTTAGCCAAGAGAGCTGAGGCTACCGAGGTAAAATGGGTTTACAGACAAAAATAAGGAGTAAAATTATGAGCATATTTAGCATTAAAAAATAATCATCCAACTAAAGAATATAACCTGGATAGACCAGAAATATGAAAGCAGAATTATCAATAATTAAAAAGAGGCATAATAAATATCTTTAAAGAGGTAATTCAAAATATTGGTAAGAAGAAGCAGACAAGAACAGTTATTAAAAAGAACTAAGTAAAAATATTGGGGGTCAGGTGTAGTGGCTCATGCCTGTAATACCAGCACTTTGGGAGGCTGAGGCAGGCAGATTGCCTGAGGTCAGGAATTCAAAACCAGCCTAGCCAACATGCTGAAACCCCATCTCTATTGAAAAAAAGTACAAAAATTAGCCGGGCATGGTGGCAGGCACCTGTAACCCCAGCTACTTGGGAGGCTGAAGCAGGAGAGTCACTTGAACCTAGGAGACAGAGGTTGCAGTGAGCTGCAATGGCACCACTGCATTCCAGCCTGGGTGACAAGAGTGAAACTCCATCTCAAAAAAAAAAAAAAATACTGGGTATCAAGATGATAAGTATTGAATTAAGACCTCAGCAGATTAGATACATTGCTTAATGGATAGAGTTAAAGAAGAAATTAGTAAATTGGAGGTTCGATTGAGTAAATCTCCCAGAAAGTACTGGGAAGGAGTAAGGATATGGGAAATACAGCACAAAGATTACAAGATTTGGAGATTAGAAGCAGAGTATCAATCTCCACATAGTAGGAGTTCCAGAAAAAGAAAAAAGAAAAAAGAATAAATAAATATTTAAAGAAATAATAATCGGCTGGGTGTGGTGGCTCAAGCCTGTAATCCCAGCACTTTGGGAGGCCGAGATGGGCGGATCATGAGGTCAGGAGTTCAAGACCATCCTGGCTAACATGGTGAAACCCCGTCTCTACTAAAAAAATACAAAAAACTAGCCAGGCGTGGTGGCAGGCGCCTGTAGTCCCAGCTACTTGGGAGGCCAAGGCAGGAGAATGGCATAAACCCAGGAGGCAGAGCTTGCAGTGAGCTGAGATGGTGCCAGTGCACTCCAGACTGGGAGACAGAGTGAGACTCTGTCTCAAATAAAATAAATAAATAAAAAATAATAATCAAGAATGTGCCATAATTTAAGAAAGACAAAAATCTCAGCTTATAAAGCCTCAAAATGGGCAAAACGTGTAAGAGGAACCCATATCTAGAACATTATAGTGATATTTAAGAATAGAAAGTGAAAGAGAAAATTCTAAGAGCTTCTAATGAAAAAGAGTAGCTTACCTGCGAAGAAAAAAAAAAAAGATTGACATGAGTCATCTCAAATGAAACAATGGATGGCCAGAAATTCTCAGAGTGATATATTTTGAAATGGTGAAGAAAAGAATTTCTAACTTAGAATTTTTCATTTATCCAAACCACTGTGTATATGTATTACAGGCATTTTTAATAATATGAAAAATATATTCCCAGAAATAAGCAATAAAAAATTTATAATACATAAAATTGCCAGACTATAAAAGTAGAATATAATATATAAATATTGAGCATTTGGATATAAAGAGTCAAAATAGAATGGATATAATTTTCCCAAATTAACTCATGAATACTGTCCCAATCAAATTTGACTGCTTAGAAAATATTTAAAACTTACTTAGAAAACTAAGCATGACATTTCTGAAAAATAAAAAAAAGTAGAAAGTCTCTTATTTTAATGACATTGTAGTAATTAAAACAGTTTGGAAAAGCATGGATTAGTCCGTAAATGGTGCTGGGGCATGTAATTAACAGTATGTATTGAACAATGAGATCACTTGGACACGGGAAGGGGAACATCACACACCGGGGCCTATGGTGGGGAAGGAGGAGGGGGGAGGGATGACATTGGGAGTCACACCTGATGTAAATGACGAGTTGATGGGTGCTGATGAGTTGATGGGTACAGCACACCAACATGGCACATGAATACATATGTAACAAACCTGCACATTGTGCACATGTACCCTAGAACTTGAAGTATAATAAAAAAAAAAGTATGTAAAACAGAATAATTATATCCCTGAGGAAAATTTTGTTTGCTATATTTTAACAAGCAGGTAGGTAAATACATTTCGTTTAAAAATAAAAAACAAAAACTCTTCAGATTTCATATTAAACAAAAAAAGCTAAGCACTCCAATATAAAAATTGACACAGGGAATGAATAAGCTAAGCTATGTATAAAAAATAAGCATAATAAATATGAAATATTAATTAAAACACAAAAAAAGTAATCTTGTTGGTAATCCAAGGGATATTGGTTAAAACTACTTAGACATTAGATACCAATCCTCCCCTTTCTTTACATTTGTAAGAACTGAAACACTGATAGTTTCCACAGTCACTGAGAGTGTCTTTCTTCAGTTTGGACCCTGCTGCTGTACATCCAATAGAAATTCCCCCAAGACTGTAGCATATTTCCAACATTAGTGCTCAAATCACCATTCACACATAAATTCTGCCACCTGTTTGTAATTTATGCCCTGTTTCCTTTGTGGATTTTAGAGCAGCAATATTTACAAGCCACTACATGGAAAACGCTAGCCTACATTTGGTACAGGTTTCTCATTTCTTACAAGCCTTACTTCATGCTCAGTACTCTAGGCATGATATGATCTGGCTGCAAGGACTCATGCAGTTTCTGGGCTTTTATTTGGAATCATTCTCATTCATGTCCTGCTTCATTAACCTATGAGAGGAACTTCTCTACTTTTCCCCACCTTTCACACCCATGTGTATGGGCAAGAAAATTCAGATTATATAACTCACTAATGTCCTTGTATTTAGTCTTGTTTTCCAACGTGAAGAATTTTCTCCTTAAAGACTCTGATTTCTGAAATAATGTATTGACCTCAACATTCAGCTAAGATCTTACTCTCTATATACAGTCCACACCCTGACTCCTCAAAGGCCTGGCTTTAGCATTAAGTCACTTCTAATTTTCAGACTCAAGCCTGCTATTTCCAGAAGAAAAAAACTCAAGGATTTTATATGCTGATGGAATACAGAAAAAAGCTAACATTGTTAGATGTTCCAACTATAAAGTTTTCTTGATGTGTAAGATTTTTAAATCTAGAGTATGCTGTCAAAATGAGAACGTTTATGGAAGAGAAGCTTGGAACAGAAATGCATTCCCACTTTTTGAAAAGTGATTGAGTTTATTGAATTAGTAATTTATTTTTAGAAACAGTAAAAGAGAAAACATGTGTTACCAATACAGTGGAAACAGGAAAGGACAATACGTTGATATGGATTCAAGAGTTGGCTCTGCTCTTTGTAAGAAATACTCCGGTGAATTTCTCAACTTTGATTTTCTTCCCTGTTAAATAGAAATATTAGGATTATAGTTGGGTGTGGTGGCTCACACCTGTCACCTCAGCACTTTGGGAGGCTGAAGCAGAAGGATCACTAGAGCTCGGGAGTTTGAGACCAGCTTGGGCCACATAGCGAGACCCTGTCTCAACAAAACATCAAAAAATTAGCCGGATGTGAAGGTGTGTGCCTGTAGTCCCAGCTACTTGGGAGGCTGAGGTGGGAGGATCGCTTGAACCTGGGAGGTTGAGTCTGTAACGAGCCATGATGGCACCACTGCACTCTAGCCCGAGCAACAGAGTGAGACTCTGCTCTAAAAAATAAATTTATGTTTTATAAATAAGGAATATTAGGATTATTATACGTTCTCAATGGAATAATCTCCTCAGAAGTCTTAGCCCCACTCCACCTAAATTAGCGGTTCCTCTTGCTTTTTCCTCAGCACAGCACACATCTTACATCTAAGACACTGTATTTTAATGATCTGTTCACGTGTATTGTCCATCCCACAGGACAACAACCCACTTTGATGAGTTTTCTTAGTCACCTTCATATTTTCAATGCCGGGTGCAAAGTCTGGAGGATCATAGGTTTTTAGATATGTTAGCAGACTTAAAATAAACTGATACAAGGAAGAGCCCTCTGTAAACTGCAAACACCATTAGAAAGAAGGGCTGTATTATTTTCCTCCTTTAACTGAAATTACAGTAGCATTGCATTCCTAAATGTGGCGACTTCGTGATTTCTATTGCAGATGACATATCTTTGAAGATGTGAATTTTTAAAATCTCTTCATGGAAACTGCAACCCATATTTCAGAACACATTTACATCCCAGATTTTAGTGTTAGAAAAACGTGTATGTAAGGTTAGTTTTAAGAGACGTAATACAGTGAATTCAGGGTAATATATAATCATGTATTTCAAAGAATAATTGTCCCCGTTAGGACTTTTACTAATTGAATTCAGAAAAAGTTACAAATCACCATCACACAGAGGGAGAACCACCTTTATTTCCAGGGGTTTCTGTCCAGTGATAGATAAAGCTGGAAACGGTTACCGTGAACTCTCATTCCCAGATACTAATCACCAGAAACCACTTTCTTCTTGAGCAAGTCCTCTACTAAGGGTTCATTTATTCCATGTTCAGTACAGTGATTTCAATGTCCGGGATGTGAAGCCCATCACACGGTTTTTGTCAAAAGTTTGCCTCTGGGCACCAGCAGTCAGTGTTCAAGGTCTAGAATTCTACCACCTTGTAAATTTGGGGTGGGGCCCAAGACTGATTCTGGGTGAAAAATTGATAAAAGTTGTCCAGGCTAAGAGTTCTTTCAAGGAGCCCTGAGAGTTGCCATGGGAGCTGGAAGGCTCTGGGAATCAGGATGGAGAGGGCACCGCCACGCACACTTAAACCCGCACCCCAGCCAGAACACAAGCGGTTAATCAGCTGCTGGCCAGGACAGCCTTTTTGCTTTAGCTGGTATTTTGGTTTCCTAGGGGCTCTCGGAGCAACTTCTTCATTGGCACTGGTTCTCTGAGGAGGCTAGCAACACCAGTCACAAGTCTAAGCCGCAGCCACCGAGCACTGGTCCCTTCCCATGTACGACTGGTGACTTGATGACAAGTATTTGGCAGGGTCTGGGCCCAGTGGAGCCAAGCGGACTCCATGTCGGCTCCTCGGCTGTTGCTATTTCAGGGGCTTTCCACAGAACTTTTCCCTACTGTTGAATATGCAGAGCAAAGGGGAGGGACGCAGATGAGATAGGAAAGCAGCCAGGAACCCCAGCAATGTGGAAGGGAGTATTTCATGAAGGAGACATGCCGTGAATGTTTCTGAATCATTCTGGAAATCATAGGACTGTGAACAAGAAAAGATCTGAGAGATCTCATACTGACTCCCTTGTAGGGATCAGAGACACTGCCTGGTACATTTAAGATCTCACAACCAGTTAGCAGCACTGCTGAGCTGGAACTCTGGGCTTCTGGCTCCAGGGAAGCCTCCTTTCTGTTCTCTTTGCTGGATGAAAAGCTTAAATGCTGTACTCTATCTGCCCAAAGTGAGACAGCATTCTAGAAATGCATGCCTTTTAAAAACCAACATGACAAATTGAAAACATGGCACTGTTAGAGCTTCAGTTTTTCTCATATTAAGATAAGGCTGGCCGGTGTGGTGGCTCATGCTTGTAATTCCAGCACTTTGGGAGGTGGAGACCGGAGGATCTCTTGAGGCCAGGGGATTTGAGAACAGCCTGAGCAACACAGCGAGAACCTGTGTCTACAAAGGAGAATTTAAGTTGGGTGTGATGGCACGCACCTATAGTCCCAGTACTTGGGAGGCTGAGGTGGGAGAATCACTTGAGCCAAGGAGTTCAAGGTTACAGTGAGCTATGATCACTGCACTCCAGCCTGGGTGACAGAGCAAGACCCTGTCTCTGAAAATTAGAAAAATTAAACATAGTTTTAAAAGATGAAGCTGTCCTTGCAATGGGAACAAAAGAAGAAAGGTTAAATACTATCCTCAAGATGGCCCTTGTAGAGTAACTCTAAATCTTCCAAATTCTCCTGGGTGCCGTCCACAGTGTGCCTGAGAATAATCAATGGCAAGAAAAATGTCTCCCTGTTGAATTTCTCTTACTGACTATTTTTCTAAACTGGGTGCCACACAGTCCTTCTTAGGAAAGTTAATGCTACCTTGCTTCTCCTTCAGCGCGTAATTCTCCCTGTTAAAATACAAAGAAAAAAAAGAGTGTGGTGTGCATGTTATGTTCCTGATGTTAGAAATAGAAGACCTCTGATTCCATTGCCCAGTTTTACTTACAATGTGTGCCTTCTTTTCTCAGGAACTTTGAAGAATATGGTAGATTTGGGACTTTGATAATAGGGCCAAAGACTAGAAGGTTTCCATAGAGTCATTTTTTTCTATTATTTAAGGTACTGAAAAAAGCTGAAAGAGGTAGGGTTGCCAGATTTAGCAAGTAAAAATAAAGAACACGTAGTTAAATTTAATTTTCATTAAACAATGAATATTTTTTAGTATACATATGTCCTGTGCAATATTTGGTACATGTTTATACTGAGAAATTATTCATTGTTTATCTGAAATTAAAATGTAATTGAAGGTCCTGAATTTTATCTGGCAACCTGAGAGGAAGGGAGAGAAGAATGGAGAGAGAAAAAGAGAGGAGAGAGAGAGGGAGAGAGAAAAGGAAGAACAAGGATGGGGAGAAGAAGGAGGAAGAAGAATAAACATCAATGATAATAGCATCCTTCAGAGAGAAAAATCGGCATCAAATTACAAGATCAGTTCCCAGTATTGTGGCTTGTCCCCTTGACAAAGAGAACTTTTATCCACCAAAGTGGTGCTCAGGTAATGCATGATTAAGAAATCAAACCAAACCAAACAAAACAAAACAAAACACAGATCCTACTTGACACTTTGTTCCATTCATTCATTCAAAACCACTTCTTTATTATCTCGTAGGGCATGGCAGGTAGGTGGTGAGGAAGGACTTTTCAAAGATAATTAATTTTCTGCTCTCCAAAACCTCACCAATCCTAAGTGCCATGAGAAAAATAAAAGTAACCTGACACAGGGCTAGGACACAAGGAAGACACACCTAGTTAGGGGCAATGGGAATGTTTACGTAGAAGACACACCTGCCATTCGCCTTGAACGACTGTGCAGCATCTGAGCCGTTGTCTTATGAGGGTCATTTCTGATCTTTCTAAAATGTTGGCTTCATAGAGGGGCTGCTTGGGGGCAGGGGATCCTCCCATCAGGTGCAGCTAGCAAGAGGCAGAAGAGCTCATGGGGAGAGCAGGTTACCAGCCGGTGGACATCCCGGGTGAGAAGGTGGGAGGGCATGGTCAGGTCATGTCACCTGGTATTTGAGGACAACCCTGAACGTTAACTCTGCTTGCATCAGCTTGTATTGCTCCAGAAACAGTATTCCTTAAATGCACCTTTTCCACAAGTCATTTTATTTGCCTGTATTAATAGTCCATGACTTGGCCATTTTCACAGGAACACACATAGTAACTGTTCAGGATTAAGGGCAAGAGAAAAATCACTAATTAATCACAGTATCTGGCTAGTGATTTAAATGTTCTTCTCCAGGAATAATGCCCCCCAATTTTATTTAATATGTAAGAAGTATTATATATGTTAAATATTATATTTTTGTATATAATAAATAACATATATAGCCAATTTATATATACTATATATATTGAATAACATAGTAAATATACATTGTAAAAATGTTGACATATATTATATGATATACTATATTTTATTATACACTATAGTATTCAATAGTTTTTATACATAGTAAATAAAATTAGAAAATTTGCTTCCTGCAATAATATATATTATATGAAACATCATTAAATATAATATATATATACACACACACATCAGTAAAATTGATACAATCAGAGCTGACTTCTGTAAATAAGGTAATATTCTCTCTCCAAGTTCATCAGCCCCGTTCTCATAAATAGAGCACATTCTTGCAGAGAATATCTGGTAAATTTCAAAAGGGAAGAAATCAGAAGTCTCATGTAAAAATGTATAAGAATAATTTCTGTTTCTTCTGTCTTTCCTTTTTAAAGAAAACCAGATCTTTATTATTGCTCACAAAGCCAGCCATTCCCAGGCCTTCAATGATATAATGAAATCAAGAATTTGACATCTTGTTCATATAAAGACCCCAAAATACCAAAGAGGTCTCATATTTCCAGAGGCTAAAAAGATTTAAAAATGAATCCTTCTCAAGAAATATGTAGTATCATAACAATTTTAGGCCAGAAACACAAAATACATGCTAAAAATGAGAAACACAGAAATCAATTCTTAATAATACACTGAAGAAAAAAAGACAATTATCAGATGTCACACACTTCGAGTAAAAAACAAATGGGAAAGGGCCCAAGGACTGGTTTATACTTTAATTCTCTATAGATTTTAGGCATACATGGAAGAAATTGAAGCTTTTATGAAAATGGCCACAGTCAACAGAAAAACTGCACAATGCTTATTTATTTGTGTAACCCAAACGGCCCTGGACATCCACAAGCTTTAAGTGCATGCGAGTAAGGATATGCAACATGGATGTCCAAATGGAATCAGCTCCAAACTTTCCCCAACCAAGGCAGGGTTTCATCCCCTGGCATCTCCAGGGAACGCCCCGCTAGTGTTCCCAGATGACTGGTTCAGCTCCACTGGCACCGACCTTAGCCCTGTTCCATGCCTGCTAATATCTCCTACCGACGGCGCTGCCTTGGAGAACCTCTGCACTGTACAGTTTGGAATAGGCATTTGGAAAGTCTGGTAATGATGTCCAACAGCACCACCTCCCCATGCTCAGAGCTGCTGATCTTTGAAGTGCCCCCAGTGGCTCTGGAGCAGAAATGAAAGAGTTGGCCAGGTCTAGGCAGCACATGTGGGCCTTGAAGCCAGGAGTGTCACCAGCTCTGCTCTGCTTATTGGCCGACCCCAGAGCAGACTTCTCTCCCCCGCCCCCAGAGTAGGCAACCTCACCTGTCCCACCTCCACCTTCTTCCTCCTCCAAATGCTCTGCTCTTTTCCTTTGCAGAAATTATTTGATGCCTAATTAACGATACAAACTTTATAGCATCCCTGTCTTAATTAGGCCTCTTCCCTAACACCGAGCACAATGCATGGGAGAAATTCGTGTCTAATGAATGTTTAGAGAACAAATGAATGGATACTTTTCCTTGAGACAAGTCCCTATATTTTTACAGCTAAATGCTTTCTCATAACAACAATAATTGTAAACTCATTGTTTCTATGTGTTGGCACTTCTCCCAGTCATTTATATGTTTACTCACATATTCCTCACTAAACTCCTGTGGAACAGATACTTTCATTCTCTCCATTTTTGCAGAAGAGGGAACTGAGGAACAGAGAGGTTAAGAAACTTGCCCATGGTCATCCAAGTAGTGAGTTGCAGACCTGCAATTCTGAACCCCAACAATCTCATTTCTGAATTGGTGCTCTTAACTTCCCATTAAATCCCATCTTTTGGAGAAGTCCAAGAGGTCAGATGGAGAATTTCAGCCCCCTCTTCTCTATTCTCTCTCTGGTTCAAGTAACTTCACCAGAAAGTAAATCATACAAAGAGAAACTCAATGACAATAACAATAACTCCATGTCTTCCTTTCTTCCTCCATCCCCATCTTCCTTCTTTCCTTCTTTCTCCTTTCCCTCCCTCCCTCCCTCCCTCCCTCCCTTCCTTCCTTCCTTCCATTTTATACAGCAGTCCTACCCACCATACCTGGCCCACCCCAGGCACCAGAACTACAAAAGTAACTACAAATTTGTCCCTGCCATGGAATCATAGTCTGGTGGGAAGAACAGAGGTGCAACCGCATTAACAATTTAACCTGGATAAACAAGGCCCAGTGGAAGCATCTGGCAAACCCCAATGCAGATAATGCTGGCAGGAAAGAGCCAGAGGCCAGCAGGAAACTGACTGAGTCCATCAGCAAATTAGGAAAACATGTCTGGGCCTAAGACAAGACTGACTCCTTGCTCTTAAGGCTGCGAGGGAGAGGTGTGGTCTATACAGCTCACAGGTAGGAAATAAATCACTGCTAGCTGTTCCTAAGGAAGAAGTGAAAAAGCCTCCAAATTGCCAGGTTTCAAGTCAACCTCATCAGGGTTTACAGAAAGGACAGGAACAGAGAAGGAGAGGATCACATAAGCAAGTAACTGAAGGGGAGGAAGTTAGCATTACACCAAGCAGTGTAATTTATCATTCTTTTGGAAGGAATTTTTTAAAGGCAAAACTTAAAGATACTATCTTGATCTGGTATTTATTTAGTGGCATTCGTTTTGTGGGTGGGTTTATGTTTTAAGAAAGGCCGGATGATACATATAAGAATAAACCATTAGTTGAAAGTTGGAAATGCATGATCCCGATGAGAGGTCAAACTAAAGCCTGGGAAATACATACTGGAGGGAAAGTGGGACATCCCTCTTCTCGTAGCCACTTCTCATTAAGAGAAAGCTGTATTATGTCAGAGAGCAAGGTCTTTGAAATTGCAAAGCTTGTTAAGATAGACTCTGCACTTTGTCAACTACGGGACCATGGGTCAGTTTACAACCTTTCAAAAACTCAACTTTTTCCACCTGTAGAATGGAAATGATAATGATATTTTCTGTGTAGGTTTTTCTGTAATAGTTAAATGAGATCATGCCTATAAATAGACTTCCTGGTGTTGGGTCTATGACGGTGCCAGTTATGCCAGTTATCTGTGGTTGTGATGGTGATGGTGGTGGTTGAAGCAAGGTGTGTATGGAAGGGAAAAGTTGTGGTTCTTTACTATTTCTACTGCTGTTGTCTTCATCGTTTCATTTAAATATGTGTAATAATTCACTCTAACTAAAAAAGTAATTAACACTCTGGGACCCATTAGATATAAGTACATTCTCAAATGCCACACTATATATCAAAACTGCAACCCATATATCTGTCTTTGGCAAGATCTGTGGGAGTTACTTCCCATAATGTTGATTTAAAAGCTTTGGTGACATGGCCCAAATATCTCCAATCTCTTCTTAATAAGGTTAGGCACTATATTTAAACCCTTACTGAATTCATTGATATTTTCTGCTTGTTGGGGCAAGGCATTCTTAATATTTTCTGCTTGTAAGTACACAGGAAATGTTGGTTTTCATCTCCGTCACTGCTAACCCCGGGAACGTAGAGCTCTGTCTTTGGGTTACTGGATGAACTACAATCAGATAGCCTTCCAGGGACTTACAGAGGCAGGGATGGTGTGTACTTGCCGCTAGGTGTATGTGTGATGGCAGTGTGCCAGCTGGAGTCTTCCAGTCAGCTCAGCTGTCTGCTTCCCCCATCCCTACTAGGGGTGTCAGTGGCCTTGCTCTCACCATCACCCCCACTCACACACCCAACCAGGCACTACTAGGAAGAGCTGCAGTGACCAGTAGCTAGGCTGTGCAGAGGAAGAAACTGCAGCATTATCCCGGCTACGTCATTCTCCCTGAAATCACTTGAATCAAAACCGTAGTGACAGGAAGAAGAAATTCAAGAAGCAGCCAGGTTTGAGCAAAGACACCAGAATGGGGAAGAGGGTAAACGTTTTGGAGGATTCAATCTCATGCTTTCCTGAGCAAGGAAGCAGCAAACTTCTTAATGAGTAAATGCTATCAACATTCTCTTTAAATCTGACACCCTAACTCAACACGATGCAGGGCATTTGGCATGGACTGTACTTCCTGTCACCATTTATTTTGGTGTTCTAAGATGTTTCTGACTCAAAAAATAACTGAAAGCCTATTTCTCTGCTGTCATAAATCAAATTACCCCACCCATCTCAGCAGAACTGGGCCCGATCCAGGAGATGCATACAAAACAGAAAGAGATGAATAGCTTTTCAGAAGGGAAGATATCTGCTGCAACAGCAACAAGAGTGAGGACATACATTTTCCCAAAAGATCTGGAGTAAATTCCCAGAGCCTACAGATGGCCTTTGAGTTTATCTGACAGACTCCCTTTCCATTTCAACCTCCTTTGAGGGTCTGGTCAGAAGGTCTGCATGCCAGTGGGGTAAAATAAAGGCACACTGATTGCTTTGACAGTGCCAACAGACACTCTTCTTGTGGACTACTGAGATCCAAAGCCCGGTGAAGAAAGGAAGCAATCTTCTGTGCATTTTGGATGCCTCCACTGACCCAGCAGGACGGTACGCTGTGAGCATCTTGAAAGATGAACACACAGCACCCAGAGAGTTCTGGTACAGGGGCAGCACTCAGTAACAGCCTGGTGATTGACTGACTCATCACACCTGCTGAAAGTCCATTGTTAAACTTGATTTCTGCACATTTCTTATTTATCCATCAGCTGCTGTTACTATTAGGGCACATCTCTGAAGACTGTTAAATTTTCTTCAACTTCATTACTGCAAAGCCACATTTTTCATGAAGCCACCGGCACATCCCTAGAGCTTTTGCGACACCCCATATTTATACCACTTCTCACACTGTTGTGTTGCTTATCTCTACCACCCTATAGACTGTGAACTCCTTGGGAGAGGGAGAGAGAGGACTTGGCCTTTTTATCATTGTTACCCCAGTGCCAGGGTAGTTGACAGCATTTCAAAAGTGTCCAATAAATACTCCTTTACATAAAGTCCATACCCAAAGTTAAGGCATTTCTGAAGCATTTCAGCTGACATTGATCACTTCTGACTTCAAAAGAAAAGAGGGTGTTTTTTTTTTTCCTCCATCATGAATCAGAATTAGATTGTGCAATTTGCATGAGACAAACAACGGTTTAATGCTTACCTTCACTTTCTATTACGTACTGTTCTCCTTCATGCTAATTTTGCTGTCAGAGGTCCAGGGGGAGACTGAAACACTTTAATTATGTCTCCTTTTGCAAAAAGTTAAAACACAAGCAAGATTTTTAAAGTATATGCTTTTATTCAGTTGCTTTTTTTGGTTGCTTTTTTGTTTTTAAGTGGCTACCATTTCCTCTTTAAAAGTTAGGTAGAGCACTTTGGTCTTTATGGTGCAAGAAAGTATAATATCTTCCTTCAACATTCTGCAAATATTTCTTGAGTTCCTGTTATTCTATTACTACAGGACACTGTGCCAGGAGCTAATGAGAGAAATGGAAAGACAAAGCTGCTGTTCTCATTGAGCTTAAATTCTAGTGAAGGGCACATAAGCACTAAGCAAATAAACAAGAAAATCTCAGGGCATGGTACATGTTCTACAGAAAATCAAAGAGGGGTGTGATGGAGAGGCTGCACTGGACCACTCGAGAATGAACAATCAGGGAACGGCAGTCTAAGGAGGTGACATTTAATCTGAGAACTGAATTAGCTACAGAAGTTGGTCCCTAGACCTGAGGTAAGACATTCCAGGCAAAGGGTATGGTTGGCATGAGTCCAAGCTGGGAACAAGCCTGGCTTGTCATAGCAATGTGTTCCTGTGTGGGAAGCCACTGACCTGCAGGCTGCAGTGAAGTAACCCTTATGGAGCTGACTCCCAGGTCTGGATTGCCAAGTCTAGCTCTTCGTATTTTTGCAGCAAATTCGGGCTCCATCAAAGACCCTGTGACAAGGACAATTCAACATAGTCACCCAGCTAAGCTATTAAGCATCTATGTTTTGGTAGGCATTAGGCATAAACCAAACTTACTATCCCCCCAAGATCATCCACAAACTTTACATGTTTTCTGTTCTGGCTACCCTGATACTGGAATTACCATCTTCTTCATTTCCAATGTGATTCTGCACACACACACTCAGGCTTAGAAGGGCATGATTTGGGGGAACTTTCTGTTAAATTACTTATTTATAGTTCATGATTTATACAATAGAGAGGAAAAAAAGTCTCTTGCCTGTCCCCTGCCCTTGCATACACGCACACACACACGTTCTACATATTTATATAAAGTTAAGCCCCTTATGCTCCATCAGTCCAACCAGGAGATTTTCTCATAAATGAATTTCCGTGGGAAGCAGGGGCAAGTCTGTGGCCCCAAAGGCAAACAGAGTGGATGTGCACGCTCTCCCCTCTCCATCTCTGAGCCCCGTGGGACTTGTTCTCTCTGAGCCTGAGGGGCCCGCCCCACAGAGCAAGGCATCCTGTGCAGGCTGGGCCATCCCTCCGGGAAACGTAGGTCCACCGGAGTTGAGCATTACTAAGGGGTCAAGTTTTTGCTTCTCACCCTTAAGCCTCCTCTCTAAAGGCCAGTGGAGGGCTTTAAAATTTTTGTTTTAACTAGAGAGTGTATCAATGCTTACAAGATGCAAAGGACTATTGGGGGTGCTTTCCCATGTTTCCTCATGAAAATCTTGCAGTCCTCCTATGAGGCAGAGATTGCCCTTGCTTTGTAAAAAAAAAAAAAAAAAGGAGACTGACGATCAGGGAGGGTGTGCAAAAATGCCTTTGCCACACAGCTGATGACTTGTTGTTGGGCTGGGATTTGAACTGAAATCTAACACTGAAGTCTACTTCTTTTTCCTTCAGGATGCGGCACAAGCTTCCTAAAAAGACTAGTCTGGGCTGTGTGTGTGCTACCCCAGAGGCATGGAACATGGTTTAGTCCTTGGTTGACTGGTGGAATTTCCTTTACTCTGAAATTTATGTCTCAATGGAAAGAAACGATAGGAAAAGACAGTGAGTGAGAAATAGTGGGGTGAAGGCAGAGAGGCGCAGGGAAGAAGAAGGAAGAAGAAAAGGAAAAGACACATTTATGGAGGTCCTGCTGTGTCCTAGATACCGTATTAGGCTTTTCAATTGTATGCGATCCCCTTAAAATTCCCCATTCCTGAACCTTTAACTCCTAATGCTACACTAATAACCCAGCAATTTAAGAAGTGCTAGTCCGTGGAAAGTCCCAGATACCAACTTGAAACAAACAGCAACTCAGTGAGGTTTTTATTTGTTAATGACAGAGATTAAAATTCCTGGGAAAACAGGCGTGCTGCTCTTGGGCACCTCCTTGTGGTCACCTGCAAAGACACATCCAGGAATTTGGGACTTTGAAGGACTATTAAAATATGGAGGGCATTATACTCAGTGAAATAAGCCAGAAGGACAAATACTGAATGCTCCTACTTATATACAAACACTAAAAGATTCAAACTGATAGGAGCAGAGAATAGAGTGGTGGTTGCCAGGAGCTAGAGGGAGAGGGGAGTGGAGAGATGTTATTCAATGGGCAAAAAGTCTCGGTTGTGCAAGATAGAAAAGTTCTAGCAACCTGCTGTACAACATTATGTCTATGGTAAACAATATGGTATTGCACATTTCAAAATTGGTTAAGAAGGTAGATCTCAGGGTTATTATCTCAAAAAAAGAACAAGAAAATGACAACAAACAAAGCCCAGAAAGAGACAGAAGGAAACTTCTGAAGGTGATGGATACATCTATTACCTTGATTATGGCATCATACAGATTAGATACATCAAAGTTATTGAATTGTCAAATTGTATACATTAAACATGTGCAGTCCTATTGTATATCAACTATACCTCGATAAAGTGATTAAAAAATTCTATTGCGTGACAAAAGCCAGCTCAAATAACGAAACAAAACAAAAATGAGTTGTTGATCTGCTCAACAGACCAATAAACCCGTTTGTTTTTTTCTTATCCCTCTGTTCTGCTTTCTGTCACATTAAGAATGTAAATAGATAATGAAAATGTGTTTCTTAAATATTAATGTCTGTCTTCTGAGTGTTTTCCAACAGAAATATCTGGGGACAGGCTTTGGAATCATAAAGAGTCTGAATTAAAATACTGCTCTGCCACTTACCAACTTTGGGACAAGCCAATCCATCTGCACCTCATTCTCCTAGTCTGTGAATTGGGACCAGCGATTCCTACCACCTGAGGATGCTGTGGACATTCTCCAACACGATGGATGTGAAAGCATCCCACTTATCTTAGTGGTTAATATATGTCAGTGCCTTCCTTTCCCTCCTCTTTGCCTTATATGCAGAATTATTTCCACAGACTGATCTGCCATTAAACACTCTCAGATTAGAATAAATGTTACTTTGTTTCTAAACTTCGTCCCCCTGCCCCTCGAGTCTAAGGGAACAGCCCACTGCCTTAGGAAATAGTAGGAGTAAAGCAAGAAAGTTGGTGAGAGAGAGCAGGTTGGCTAACTGGGGATGTTTCAGGGTGAGATGATCACAAATGTGAATGAGTTGAGCGAAAAGAGTTTTTATGGTAAGTACTGTTGACAAGCCTTTAGCTCAGGGACCCACCTGGTGCATTCTCAGCACGTTGCAGATCCAGTCCGCCCCTGACCCTTTCCGAGTGAGCAGTTCACCTGCTGTGTGCAGCCACCTTGGAGAGGCATCCTGCACTCACCCAGGCAGGGATGGCTACTCCTGCGGAGACCAGAGGAACACCTTCCTCTTAAGGACAGAAAATCAGTGACAAGGCCATTATTCTCTATTTGTATTTATTCCCCTGACTGCTGCAGCCAAACTATACCTGTGGTTTACCTTTCACAAAAGATGTCTTTTCTGCCTTATTTGCAAGAATATTTCCAAAGCAGATGCCAAACTGTACACTGATGTCAAAAGCACATATTTGCAAAGCTGTAAAGGAAGGAGAAGAAAACATCAGCCTCTTGGGAAGCTACCAAAAGAGAGAGAACCTGGACTCAGTTTGTTCTGCTGTCTTTTAGGGAAGGAGGAGTGAGCTCCTAGCCAGTAAGAGGCCTCTGTACGTTGGGGTTGTGCATTCACTAACTCCACTGTCCTTATTTGAAAAAGAAGATGAAGTATGTGTACAAGGACCTGGGTTTGAATCTTGACTTGTTATATACGGGTTGTGAGACCCTGGATAAACCACTGAACTTTTTCAGGCTTCAGATTCCTCATCTGTGAAACAGAGACCATAATGCCAACCTTATTCTAATTTTGTGGGAAAAAAAAAAAAGCATAATAACAAGTGCAAAAACCTAGCAGAGTTAACAGGACAGAAAAGGTATTCAATTGGCTATTTTTTTAATTAATGGAAAAATGATATTAAACAACAGCTTTCTAGAAAATGTATATGGTTGTGGTATATTAACATAAAAACATGTTTAAAAAACAAGTAATAAAACTGTATATGCATTTTTTAATATCTTGAAGAATGGACCCCAAAATATTATTTCTGGTAGGCAATAAAATAATAATAATAAATAATATTTATGTTCTATATTATATATATTATAATATTTATTTATATTATATATAATAAAATGCTGGGCAATTTTTATTATTTTCTTTATGGCTATCTATATTTTCTATTTTTAAAAATAATGAACATGTATTGCTTACGTAATAAAAAAGTAAGGACAACTGAGACTGTAGAAGACTATTAATGGCCCAGAATAAAGTTGAAGATACATCATTGTCAACAAAAACTTTGATGCATATAACACAAGAGAACATGTGAAGAACAAAGTTTCTACTGGTCTCTGTGGGAAAATGGTAGGAATTTTCGGTTTCCTTCTTTTAGAAACCATATTTTCTACATTTTTATATTAGTTCATTAAGTCCCTTAAGAGTCCATTAAGGCAACTCTCTGCCAGTGTACCACCATAAATCTTCATCCAAACTAGGATTCTCATGCATGAACCAGGATATATGTTAACCCTAGCCATGAAGCATATGTTGGGGTTTATGCTTTGAATGCATGGTCAAGAATGGATCAAGGACAATTAGCTGTTTCCAGCCTCAAAAGATATAGAGCCAATGAGTGATTCCACTCTTTATATTAGTTCTAAAAGTCCTGAAAAGAGAAAAAGTACTATTGAATTATTTAATAAAAATAAAATGTGGCTGGGCACGGTGGCTCACACCTGTAATCCCAGCACTTTGGGAGTCCGAGGCAGGTAAATCGCCTGAGGTCGGAACTTCGAGACCAGACTGACCACATGGAGAAACCCCGTCTCTACTAAAAATACAAAATTAGCCAGGTGTGGTGGCACAAGCCAGCTACTCAGGAGGCTGAGGCAGGAAAACAGCTTGAACCTGGGAGGCAGAGGTTGCAGTGAGCCGAGATCATGCCACTGCACTCCAGCCTGGGCAACAGAGCAAGACTCTGTCTAAATAATAATAATAATAATAATAATGATGTATGTAAAATAACAGACATTGATGGTAAGAAACAAACATCATGCACATATATAAAAGAAGTTAATGTAAATAGTAGATATGTGGGTCTCCAAGCCTGTAGCAACAATGGTGAATAAATAACATATTCACTATCCTTTAATGTTCCTGTCTTAGTTTGTTTGCTCTGCTATAACAAAATACCTGAGACTGGGTAATTTATAAATGACAGAAATGTATTTTCTCACTGTTCTGGAGGCTGGGAACTCGAAGATCAGGGCACCAGAAGGTTGCACGCTGGTGAGGGCTGCTCTCTGCTTCCAAGATGGCTCCTTGCTGCTGCACCCTTTGGAGGGGAGGAAGGTGGTAGGGCATGAGCCAAATGCTGCATGAATCTCATTTGTAAAAGCCTTAATCCCATTCAAGAAGGAGGAGCCCTCTTGGCCTAATAACTTCTCGAAGTCCTTACTACTGAATATTATCACGTTGGTGACATGGATTTTGGAGAGAACAACTTTCAAACCATAGCATTCTTCCCATGGCCCCCCAAAATTCATGTTCTTCTCACACACAAAGTATATTCATTCCATTCCAATAGCTCCCAAAAATCTTAACGCATTTCAGCATAAAAATTAAAGTCTAAGTCCAAAGTGTCATCTAAACATGTGAGACTCAGGGTATGATTCATCCTGAAACAAATTTTCTTCTAGCTGTTAGCTGGTAAAATCGACAAGTTATGTGCTTCCAAAACACAGTGGTGGAACATATACAGAATAGATATTTCTACTCCAAAAGGGAGAAAGAGGCAAGAAGAAAGAAGTAACAGGCTCCCAGTAAATCTAAAATCAAATAGGGCAAACATGAAGAATTGAGGTTTGAGAATAATCTTGTTTGACACCATGCCCCACTTTCTGGACACACTGGGGTAAATGTTAGGCCCCTGAATGCCCTGGTGGCCCCACCCCCATATCTTTGCTGGGCACAGTCCACGCTGCAGCTCTCATGGGTTGAAGTCCAGTGTCTGCGGTTCTTCCAGGATAGAGTTGCATGCTGATGACTCTATAAGTCTGAAATCTTGGGGGCATCCCCACTCACATGGCTCTGCTGGGCATTGCCCTAGTTGGGGCTTTCTGTGTGGTATCCTTAAGAATCTAGGTGGAGGTAGCCATACTGCCACAGCTCCTTACTCTGCTTACCTGCAGAGCTAGCACCATGTGGATGCCACCAAAGCTCACTGCTCGTGTCCTCTGAAGCAGCAGCCCAAGCTGCACCTACACCCACTTAAGCACAGATGGAGTAGCCAAGGAGCACCAGAATGGAGGGAGCAGAGACTTGAAGTGACCTTGGGAAGTCAGTCCTGAGGTCCTATGGGCCTCTCCCTCTAAACCCTTCTGCCTTTAAGGCCCTGGCACTCTGAACCTGTGATAATCACAGCAGCCTTAAAGATTTCCAAATTGCCTTCAGGGTCATTCTCCCATTGTCTTGATGAATAGCACCTGGCTTCCTTCTATCCAAACCAGTATCTTTATCAGTCACTTGGCCACACCCTTAGTTTTCTCCCTGAAACACATTTTATTCTATCCATGATCAGACAGAAAATTTTCCAAATGTTTATGTTCTGCTTCCCTGTTAATTATAAATTCTGCCTTTAAATCATCTCTCTTCTTACATTTTACTACCAGTAGTTAAGAAAAGTCATGCACCACCCTAAACACTTTGCTGTTTAGAGATTTCTTCTGCCAAATGTCTAGTTCATCATTCGAGTTTTGCCATCCACAAAGTTCTAAGACACAGAATGATTCCGCAAGTTGTTTGCCACTTTATAACAAGAATGACTTTTCCTCTAGTTTCCACCATCTTGTTTCTCATTTCTGTTGGAGACCTTATCAAAATAGTCTTCACTGTAATGGCCACTTAGATAATCTCTAAGACTAAGGCTTTCTCTAGATTTCTCCTCTTCTAAGCCCCCAGAATCATCCTTAATGCTGGGTTCACAGTAATCCAGGCTTCTTCTAACATTCACTTGAAAACAGTTCTAGCCTCTACCTGTTATCCTTCTCCAAAGCCACTTCCACATTTTTAGGTCTTTGTTACACCAACATTCTACTCTTGGTACCAGTTTCTATCTTAGTCTGTTTGTGCTTCTATAACAAAACACCTAAGACTTGGTAATTCATAAAACACAGAAATTTATTTCTGACAGTTCTGGAGACTGGGAAGTCCAAGATCAAGGTCCTGGCAGGCTTGATGTTTTGTGAGGGCTGCTCTCTGCTTCCAAGATGGTGCCTGAATGCTACATCTTTTAGAGGGAAGGAATGCTGTGTTTTCAAATGTGAAAAGTGAGAACGCAAAAAAGCCAAATGCTGCATGAAGTCTCTTTTATAAGGTTCTTAATTCCATTCACGAGAGAGGATCCATCATGGCCTAATCACCTCTTCAAGGCCTTACCTCTTAATACCATCACATTGGCCATTAAGTTTCAATACTTGAATTTTGGAGGGGACACATTCAAACCTTAGCAATCCCAAGTCAGTCTTGTTTCTGTCCTAAGTGCCCTTGCTCACATTGTTCCCTTGGCCCAGAATTTTTTTTCCCTCTGCACTCTGCCCTGACCTTCTTTTATCCCACGTGCAGCTGGACAGCATCCAGGATTCAGCCCAGTATTTCCTCATCCATGAGGCCTTGCCAGGCATTTCCTGACAGACCTCTCGCCATTCTCTTGGCACAATGTGCCTACGTTTATGGTAAAATCTACGGCACTTTATTTTTCTGAATTGTTCACATTTTCTGTCTTCCCCTCCTACAGTGCAGAAACTGTACTGCATGCATCTCTTTATCTTAATACCTAGCAAAGTGACTGCACCATAATATATGCTCAATGAATGTTGACTACAACGTAAATTATTTAATCTAAATCCTGTTTCATACATACCTTTAGGGTATATTGGTATCAATTTCTCCCAGTCTCAACATTTGGTTATTGGGAAAGTTTGAGTCAAATTATAGGTGTGAATCAACATCACTAGGCATCATAGGGATAACCAAAGTAGAAATAATAAAGTAAGTGACTCATATTGGAGCTAAACAGTGGTAATTTATAAATAAAAAGCAAGTAACTAAAAATCATGATCATATCGAAACAAAATCCTTATTTGTAAGGCATTGTTGCCCTCAATGGAAATAATTCAAACTCTATCTGTGAATATGTGCATAGGAGGAGTGTTTTCACATTATTGAGTGTTGTCTGATAGCTGGAATTTTTGGTATGGTCATTCTCAATTATGGCTATATATTAGAATTTTAAGGAACATTTTTTAAAATTATGATGATTCATAGATTTCAGTCCTACCCCAAATCAATCAAGACAGTATCTCTAGGGATTCAGAGTTGGAACTGAGAGTTATCCACCCGTGAAATAGAGGAAAGGTCTTGTATTTTAAAATAATTTAAGTCCTTTAAGGCAAGTCTCCATTAGCGTTCTACTATAAAATTCATCCAAACTAGGATTCTCCTGAATGAATCAGGACATATGCTCACCCTAGCTGTGAATCATATTTTGGGGGTTGTGCTTTAAGTGCTTCATTAAGAATGGACCAAGGACAATTAGTTGTTGCCTCTCTCAAATGATATAGAGCCAATGAGTGATTCCACTCTCCCTTGGGATCCTCAGAAATTCTGTACCAAATGAATTTGCTGTCTTGGTGGTCTCAAAAGAACAGGGATGAGAGTTTGGAAATGGGGAGAAAAATGACAGCAATAAAAAAAAATTTAATACTCAGATACCAGAAATAAAATATGGCCATATATTCTGTTTCTCTCCAGAAAAGTGGTTACCCAAACATCTGATATCAGAGGCAAACGTGAGAATACTAGAGTGTTATGTGATCATTTTAATGTCACTTCTTATTCTGTATTTGTAATAGTCCTTTTGCATTAGTCTGTTCTTACCCTGCTAATAAAGACATACCCAAGACTGGGTAATTTATTTAAAAAAAAAAAGAGGTTTAATGGACTCACAGCTCCATATGGCTAATGAGGTCTCACAATCATGGCGGAAGGTGGAAGGCATGGCTTATACATGGCAGCAGGCAAGAGAAGAAGTACCAACAGGAAAAGTGCCAGATGCTTGTAAAACCATCAAATCTTGTGAGAACTCACTCACTATCACAAGAACAGTAAGGAGGAGACCGTGTCCACGATTCAATTATTTCCTCCTGGTCCTACCCTTCATACCTGGGAATTATTACAATTCAAGATGAGATTTGGGTGGGGACACAGAGCCAAATGATATCACCTTTCCTTTTAAAACCGCTCAGTACTATCACTCTTCCTAGCCTCCTAAATTTGTGGGCCTTTTCCAGCGAAAAACCTGAACCAGACTAAAAAGAGCTTGGCACATTAATGCTGACTAAAATAAAAAATATTAGAGAGGTGAGTCAAAGAGGAAAGGCAGCTGTGCATATTGGAGAGAACTAAGGGTGAGCTATTCTGAATTTAAATCGCATAACTCAAACTGTCTGAGGCATAGCATCCTCATCTAATATCCTGTTATGAAAGGTGTTGCAGGAATTAAAGAAGATAAAGAACTAAAAAGATCCTGAGGGGTGTACCTGGTTCATGGTTAACTTGTTAACTGTGGTACTATGCATGTTACCTGAGATGGAATTATTAGACACCAACAATCTCATAGTCATAGAGCAGTCCTTCAGCGTAAATGAAAGCTAAGTACTAAAGAATGATGAAAAACCAATACTTCAAAAAGTTGATGTACTTGTGGGTTTTTTTTTCTGTATTTAGACGTATTTCTATCATCTTACTTTGGCTTTCTATTAACCATGATTTTCTAAGCTACATCTTTCTCTTTTTTTCCTTCTATTTGGTTGATCCACATTTTTTTCATCAGATTTGAAATGTAGATGTTCTATTTCTATTCTTTAACTGATTATTTAATTTTTCCCATGTACTTAACTTTTCAACATCTAATTTTAATCTCTATCTTTACCTTCCTGGGGAGCATAAGGATTTTAGAATACTTCCATTTCAATTCCCCATCTTGCATCTTTCCTCACCATTCTTCAGAACATTGTTATAAAGTATTTCATGAATACTTGGTTTTATAGTTCCAAAATATTTATTATCACTACTATCCTAATTATCACCATTATTACTGTCTTAGCAGAAATGCTTCCTTTAATTTACTCACGTGTTTACTATTTCTTTGTTCAGCATCCCTTATTTCTCTTTTCCTAGATTCAATCTTCTTTCTAAAGCACATTTTGGAACTTTTTTAAGTGATTGTTAATAACAAATACTTAGCACTTCCTTGTCTAAAACTATTTTTTATTT